CTACACAACCCTAATCTAAACTAAATAGGACCAATAGGTATGCATTTAAATGACAACATTTGAAATTGCCAGTTATCATTGCGCATTTTTCAAGAAGGCTCTCTTTAGTCTGCATGTTGTAACAGTCTCATCAGCACATTCTCAGAGGATTGCTACAAGATAAATTTTTAATTGATTTTCTTAAAAATTGTTCAAACCTCTAAGGATGTAGTTCTGATAGTTTTGATCAGCATCTTGTCCAACTGATATCAGTGCACTTAATCCATCAGAGTTGACAAACTCATGCACTAAATCCTTATCATCCTGTCAAGTAAACACAATGTTAATGTACAACTCATAGAACTTAACAGTGAATATAACTTATTTCTAATGCTGTGATAGGCTATAGAAAAATAGAACTCAAAACACTAGTTGTGGCCAAGCAAAGGTTATTTATCTATTACAAAAAAAAAGATAATTATTACAATGTTCCACCTCTCTTATTACCTGAAAAATTTGCTTCAATGAAAACAAAGCTCTCCTGAGCTCTCTTCCTGATGCAGCAAGTAGTTTAGCTGTAAACAAAGAAAACCAATAATTTAAAAGCAAACCTGAACAGAAGAATTCACACTCATCAAAGTAAAATACCTATAATTAGCAAAAACAATTTGTTAAGGAACAAAATTTGCAATATTAGCTGAACTTAAAGAAAGTCAAGCTGTAACTCTTTTAAATTTCTATTCTTGTGGTTGATTCCAAAAGTAGTAAACCTTTGCTCCACAATCAATGTATTTATGACCAAGTAGCCATAAAACACTAATCCTGGCAGCAAGCATTGCTCTCAAAAGAATATATCAAAAGACTTAAGAAGCATTACTCTGTGGTATTGGATTATTCTTTTCAAAGTGATCTACCACCCTGTGTTTTTGTACATTACATCATACTGTGCAAAGCATGTTATCCTAGGCTAAAATCCCAGAGTGACCTCATGCAAAGAAACCCCAGTTCTATGCAAATAGTAGGTTGGACTATGTGAAGAGCAGGAATAATTGTATTAGCTCTAAAATACAGAGCAAAAAAACCGTGACATCTTGTAGAATTTGGACATTACGTGATTGTGACAGTTAAAATGTTATTAGCCATTTGAAGATCAGCTGGCAATTCTTTGTCATACAGTGTTCTTTAGAAGCCTTTTCACCATAATAATGCTGAATTTAACATATCAATTCAACCGGAAAATATTTTAACAACTAAAAAAAAAAAAAAAAAAAAAGGCAAGTCTTACAGAAACAGCAAATCAATTTGGGCAAACTTTTCATCTGAACATCTTTTTTGTGAAGAGTGTCTAGAAGGCTGAAAGCTAATAGTGGAAGGGCATTTATTTCAATCAAATCAACTCTCTTATAGAGAAAGTCTGAGACCTAGTATAAAACCCTTAAAAGCTTAAAACTGTGGTTTGGGTTAGACCACAAGCAAAAAATAGGCCCAAAGAGTTAGTGACAAATGGAATTTGGACAACTAGTCCCTAAAAGAGTAAGGCAAGAGAATGACCATTGCAAAAATTTTCAATGCTGGGAAATGAATATATTATTAGTGACTTTGAGAATATAATCCCCAAGGAGTGTGTTTTTGAAATACCAGAATCCTCTATCTTGAACAGCCTTAATGAAACTCAATTCTTCAATAATAAGGCAAAGAAAATAGAGGAGGAATAAAATAATTGTCTTGGTTTGCAAAACAGCAAGTTTTGTTTTTATTTTCCCTAAAGAAAATAAACTACAAAATATCTATTCTCATCAAACTCAAATTTTCAACAACAATCAGGGGAATATCTGGCCAATAAAGCCCACCAGCTATTTTCAACTGTTAACCAGGAGAGCAAGGGTTTGAGTGAACTACTTTTATCAAAAAGCTTATTGTTGGAAACTGAAAATGCTCTGTCTTGAAGATTTGCAATTAAATGCAACATTAATTATTGAACTAATAAATACCTAAAGTTGTCAATGTTTCATAACCACCTTGATAAACAAACCAACTATACCACATTGGGGAGTTGACTGACACAAAAAAGTCAATCTACAATGTCTGTCAGTGAGATAAATAGCCCATTTTTGGGAAGAGTACTATCAACAACAGACGATGGAAAATCATCTACTAGTTGTGAATAGCGAAGAAGATTGCAAATTAAGGAATAAATACTAAGTATGTAACAGGATTTGAAAATAAAACGTTTCCTGCCTGTTGAAAGTTCCCTCATGGTTATTCATTGAATTTTAAAAAAAATTAGCGACACACGAAAATCAGTCAATTTTACACACTCACAAATGATAAACAAGCACATGGTCTTCTTCAAAACAACAAGAAGCGAAGTTATTTATGATCAGCCTTGTTTCGGGTGACTAACCATCAAAGGAAGTTTGAACTAAAGCCCTAAAATGGCTCGATTACCATGATTACCAGAAAAGGAAGCAAAACGAAAAAGGAAAATTGAAGCACTTCAAAAAAAATTAGCGCTGAGTAAAATTTTCAATGATTTTCCAAGAACTTAACTTGTTAAAATGAAATTAATCCAGAGCTATTACTGACGGAAATCAGCAGGAACCTAAAATGAACAGTACGAAATGTGCGTTGCACATCGAACAGTTTTGGCTGCTGTTTCATTTTGAAATGATTAAGTGTTCCACTAAAGCTTATTAGGGCAGGTCTGAAGTCACGAACAGTCAATCTCACGCACAGAGTAATACAAACTGTGCAAAGTAAATAGCCCGCGAGTAAACTGATCGTTCAACCAAACCAAGATTACAAACCTATTTTTATGCAAATTGTTCAACAAAACAGTAACGCGCTTAGCGAAAATTGATTCGTGCACGATCGAGGAGTGTTGTTCGACAAACAGAGATATAATTTTTGGGTTTCTTTCTTTGTTTGATTTCAAACCTAAGAGAAAACAACGGAAATCACAAAATTTTAGCTACTCGACTGTTGACTTATTGACCCAAATGAGCTGGCAAATAGTAACATAACCTGACTACTTGAGATGCCAGCATGTTATACAAACGGCAAGCAGGCAACCATTAGTAACATTACGTCTTGTAGAGCAAGCGTATTGTTATCGTATTTAAGCCAAAACAACCCACTCGAAATGCTCAGCCAAAGTGTCCCATATAAGCCAAACATGGCTTAACACACAACAAATATCTGGCTTTCAGAACAGTTGGCAAGGTATTTGTCTGTGTGCGAGAAAAATCCGTGCGGATCAGACAGCTTTAAGCTGAACGCTGTTCAAATTATAAATTACTCTTTCACCTTCCCTTTGGTCATGAGTGCCTGATAAATCACTATTTTCACTCAAGCATGGGCTCCTACAGCTCAAACTGTGAAATGGTAGATGGCTTAAGATGTTAGAGTTGAAGTTTCACTCACCTATACAGTTGTGCACTCGAACCGACAGAGCCGTCCGTAGAATAATTGTGTTTTTACGGCTACGAGAGATAAAAAGCCCCATTTTACTTGGAGGATAACAAAAAAAGGGAACCTTCATTGGTACAAATAAAAAATAGAGTTAAGTTGTAATTACGGCTTCGTAAACATTGAAGGTGACAATCATCTCATACCTGTCTAAAAATCCTTCCAATAAATCGGCTTGCTCTTCCAGGGAGCTTTCCAAATCCAAATAACATCCATTGTGCGACAGCTGCAGCGCCACATCGTCGATCTATGGCAACAAATCATCACAGTCAATTAAAACAAAGGTACACAGCCACCAGTTACAACAAAACAAAAATTCAGACGAAAAGTGGACAGAGATATAAACAACTTTTAGCGTACGCTATGCGGAGCAGACAACAGCCGATGGAGTCCGCCGATTTGCTGAAAAAGTGGTATATTCAGATGGAATGTGTATGTAGGAGGCCTTGTGGGTTCAGGAAAATTTGTGCTGGCGAAAGGATCGGTGTCATCTAAATACTGAACTTTACAAGTTAACGCCATTTTGACGGAAGATTCTGTGGAGTTATTGGACGCATGCGCACTAAGTAACTCTCTTTCATCCCGAGCTCGTTGCGGGGGAGTCTTGTCACGTGACCATAAATTTCGACGATTTGGGAGAGGGCGAGAATTATACTTGAAATCCCCCATGTTGTGGTTTCGGCGGGTATATACATAATCCACACTGACTAACAGCGATTTCTTTCGCGTGAAAACGCTATTATCACGTTCAAACACGTGATTTGCCCATCAGATTTGTCCATTGTCGATAACAACAGCTTCTCCCACAATGCGCAAATGTGAATGATAACACAACTGTAACTTGAGCCGATACGTTGTATCGCCGGGGCTTAACTGTCACGAATTGAGGTCAAATCATTACGCTAGCCAATTAGTTTTTCTGCAGGCAATTGTAAGGGGCTTGCAAAAATAATCAAAACACTTGTGACGTCAATGATATCATAACCCGGCGTCCTGTTCATTTCCGTTGTGTCTCAGATACCACAATTTAGAAGACCCCTTATTACCCATTTTTAGTTACATTACATGCCTGCAAATCACATTAAACTCCTAAAAAGATATTCCAGCAGATTCACTCAATCGTGAAAGTGAAAATCGAAGAGCGCTTTCGTTCCAGAAGTCTGGCTGATTAGCCTAATCAAAGAACAACATTAACAACCTACACAATGGGTATTAATCATTCAAATAATTTCAGGAATGTTTGGAATGTTTGGCTGAGTTGTGAACTAAATTCATGGCGATCCAAATTCGGTACCTTAAGTAATTTCACCTTAAGTAGAGATAAATAGATCAACAAACTTATTCCAAGTGTTTTGTGTTAAAATTCCGAAACCAAAATCCGATGACCTTCATAAACTTAGTAGATAGGTATATCGCTTCGCAGTCCTCTGAACCTTGTTCAGTCAAGGGGATTTACTGCAGACTGCACCTTTTGCTATTAGATCTGATCTGCCCTTCACAATCCAAATTGCTTCATTTCAGTGTTTGTCCAAAAATTCTTGGAATAAATTGCGATCAAGTGTGAGTCTTAGAGTGGGTGAAAATTAAGACTAAATCGAAAACAATCACTCTATGGATTCTTACACTTGAAGACTATTAATTAAACCGAGGCTAACGAAGCTTCAAGATGATGCAACATTATTTGCAATGGAAGTTAATACTGTAAACCTTCGAATCTACTCTAGAAGATTGGAGAACGAAATTCTTTACGGAACTGGAATATATTACTGTTGATGCGCCAGCCACAAGATTGACCTTTAAAATACTTCTTTTTATAGACCCGGTTGCTAATTATAGTACAGCCATCAGCTGATTGAACTCTCCTTTCAAAACTTGACTGGTCAATAGCTGGGGACGGTTAGAGCTCGTTGAGTTTGGTGACAAAAAACATGACATATAAAACATATCTCCCGCCCTGTTGAACAAAACATAGAATAACGTTTGTCTAACGGACCTCTTGAAGATATTTTTGGCGGTATCTGCATTCAAGACAACAACTATTTACATCCATTTATTGCGAGTTTTTCACATTTCAGGAAAGATTTTTTGTGGAAACACTTAACCTCCGAGTGTCTTAGCACGAAAAGTATGCTAGAAATCGAAAATTAGGTTAGCTTAATCACTCCGGTATTGTTAGCGGCTAAAAAATGAGGAAAATATGGTTTAAAATGTACAGGAGAATGATTATCATTCAAATTAGTGTTTAACCAGAATGTTCCATTGCCACCTTAACTTAATTTCTAATGTTACAAATTCCTCACGCTCCTGGCAATTAAGAATTCATAACACAGAACTTCTGTATTGTTAAACAACCCAAGATTTGCCTGCTAGGAGCTTGTGTCGTCTTTGGCAATGATCATGACCGCCTCTAATATTTCATTGCTTCGGCGGAGTATTAATTCTTCGTAGAACTATCATAGATGAACGAAATAGAAATAACATGAAGTCCAAATAGAGTTCGTTTAGTTGCAAGTGCACAAAAGCATTTTATCGTTATTATTATTTTATTGTTACTATTATTACTATCGTTATAATCATTATCATTGTTATAATTATTTTCGATCATTCTCTCCAGTTTGTCTTTGCGTCTCCAGTTGTCAAGGAAGAAAAACAGAATGTTAACCAATCCACAAAGGCCCCCTTAGAAACTGAGGAAAATGGCCAATGTAGGGAGGTATGGGTATATTATATGGCAGGGTATTGGTCAAAGCAGGAGGAGGACTGGGCGGGCAGTTTTCGGTTTCCCCTCATTTTCTTCAATCGCTCGCCGGCTCATATACTAACGGCCTGGAACAGGCTATTCGAAGGGTAAATAATTTCCTCTTACACAAAAAAATTTTCTATGAAAATAGTCCCACGATGTCAAAAGTAGTGCATGAACTGAGGGTGAAACATGCCAAGGGCTATTCTGCATTGAAAACTGTGGGCGCACCGAAATTCATTTAGCATCATTACCAACACCAAAATGTAATGCAAAATGTAATGTTTATTCAAATTTTTTACAAAGTCTGAGGACGTTTAGCATGCACACTAAAAACGTTCTCTAGGCAAAATTACAAATTCCCTTCATAGGCATGTTTGTGATTACTCAGATACTCCTTCTTTGTAGGACTTTCTGTGATCACGGAACCACAGCTGTGGGAACAATGTTGACTGGAAAATCTGTCCAAGATGGATGTTTATAAGTCTGTTGTCGCTTTTGGTTTGAATCTCCTTGCCGAGCGCTCACTAGATCGGAAGCAGAAATGACTTCCGTGAATCGTGAACTCAAATCCTCCCAGTTCAAATGTAAACACACTGTTTGCTTTAGGAATCACTGAACATAAACAAAAAAGAAACTCGTTGTTTGGCTCTGTATCATCAAAACATATAGAATCACAACCACACATAGCCTCTGCCAGTCTCTCAGTCAATGGCGGCGGCAGCGGTGCTCAGGCATCCGTTTCCCTAACAATCGTAATCGCTCATTTCCACTGACTAAGAGCCCGGGAAAGGCTAACATAGAAATAAGAATATAAAATGTAAAACTAAAACAGGAAAACGACACTAAAATTTCAAGGGCTTATGATATATTGCATTCAGTGAAGTAAGGTAGATTCAATTTGCTTCCATCCTATAAACTCGTAACTACGTGCAACGCAAACGTTTTACTAGGGGGGGCCAGAGGTAGCGCAGTGACGTCGTTGGCTTGCTAGATAGGATAATTAAATATTATCAACTGAGTTCATAACGTAAATTGGCCACCGTAAAGAGTTTTAAAGCTGATGTTTCGAGCGTTAGCTCTGCGTCAGAGCGACGTCTGACGAAAGGCTTACACTCCGGCAAAACGTCAGCTCTGAAACTCTTAACGGTGACCAATTTACGTTACCAACTCAGTTGATAAAACTAAATTACCCTTTCATACTCTTCCACCGACGCAGCACCACAGTTTCTTTAGAAATTACCCTTTTCATTCATATGCAAGGCAGGAGTTCTCTCCATGGGCATGACACGTTGATATCCCACAGGCATAAACGGAGCAGGAACACCCTGCGGTATTCAAGTACATCATTCAGCGAGGAGTTCCAAAATTTCTCACTCTGATCCTACATGAAGTTCTATAATTATAGTTCCGGCTTAGCTCTCATTTTTTGTATGCTTGTTTTGAGTTTTAATCTTACAACACTAAACTACATGGTTATCTTAGTTACTAGCACATTGCACTCGGCCTTTCAAAATGACGCAAGGCTTCAAACCTACGTTACCGCTTGACAAGTAGTTACTGTTCGCTGAGTTTCATTTCAGTCAGAAATAGAAAGACCTTGTCAAACTTTGTAACCAAAAAACTTCAACCATTTCGGGCTCAATATTATTTTACAAACATTAAAAACGAAGACGTGAACAATCGGATATTTCCCTTGACAACAGATGCAAATAACATTTGACCATCTCTCTTTACTTTTTTCAAGATTCCGATAAGATGAAAAATAACAGTGTTTTCTGAACAAGCACAACGAAAAACATGTATGACCTTACAAAAAATTTCCAGCCGTGGGAAAGAATCTATGTTTAGCGTCACTAGAGCCGGAAATATTGCACATTCATGGAAACAATCAAAAAACGCACGCGTAAGAAATGCTTTAAGAAGCATTTTCCGGAAAAAGTAAAACTTTCGTCTCTCAAATTTAGTTCCTAGAATAAACTCGGCGCTTGGTTCGCGAACATTCAGTGCAGAGTGTATTATTTACCTTGAAAATTAAAAGCAAAAAGTACGTACTTAGCATGGTTTTGCAGCTAAGTAAGATAGTTAAGTAAAATTTACTATCACTTCCGGAAACTGACACAACTCTAACTGGGTAACAAAGCATTTTATAAGTTCCAGTGTGAAGACATTTTGTTTTGTCATTCAGTATATCATAATTCGGGGAAAAAATCACACATTTTGTTAATAAAGCGAGTGAAGCACCTTTAAGTTAAAAAAGTAAACGGCTGAATCATTGTCCAGCAGTGTAGCTCAGATAAAAGATTTTTTTCCTCAAGACTCCTGTGAAGTTTTATTACTAAAACATACAAGCAGTTTCTTGTAAAATTTATCGTCAAATTCGTTTTTTTTAAAACACGCAGCTCAGACTGCGGTTATATGATGGTTATATATGGTTATATGTTTTTGTCGAGATTACAGACATACAAACTAAATTTTCTACGAAAGTGAAGAGGCTTTTTAACAGTGTCAATTCCTAGTGCAAATGTAGATCTGACAGCAAATAACTAGTTCTTTTTAAGGAGCACAAACGCCACTTCAGCACTACAGAATCAAGAGAAGCCAATGAGGGCTTGAAGTTCTTGACCAAGGAATAGACTTGCCATGTTTATAAATTTCTCTTTTTTTTTTCCTCGGTTACAAATGGGCGTATGTATGTAAGAGTTCTAAATCGCACTTAATTCTGATTTGAACAAGACAAGGGGTTCAATCGGTGGAACACATTTACAACAAGGACTTCCGGTTTTGCAAGTTGGCATTAAACAGTACGAAACTAAATGGATGTACAAAAGGGGTAAATTTCTAAAGAAACTGTGGTGCTGCGTCGGTGGGAGAGTATAACAGGGTAGTAAGTATTATCAACTGAGTTAATGACGTAAATTGGCCAACGTAAGTTTCAAAGCTGACGTTTCGAGCGGTAGCCCTTCGTCATCGCTTTGACGAAGGGCTACCGCTCGAAACGTCAGCGTTGAAACTCTTTACGGTGGCCAATTTACGTTATGAACTTAGTTGATAATACTAAATTCCTCGTAAATGGATGTACCATTCGTATGGCAGGCAGAAAAATTAGATTTTCAATTCATAATGTAAAAAAAAAAAAACTCTTAAACATGTGGATGACGTCACCGACAAATCGAAATCATTAAAATACAGAGCTGCTTAAGTTCTATCTCTTAGCAACAGATCCGTGATTAAGCTAGTAGGATTAGAGCATCGTATGAAAAAAAAGACTTTCAAGGACGCATTTGCATTAAATGGACTTGGATACCAGAGAATTTAATAATTCTCTAGCCTCTACAGAATTTCTACACAAGGTTACCACAGAGCGCCTTGGGTATCAAACTTTGTAGACTTGCAAAAAAATGAAAAAACGTAAAACATATCACCGAGTATGTTGTTTACTGGCATATAGCTACCTTTACTACAACTGACGTTAATGTGTAGTAGACAGAGGAAGGAGCAAAGGAAGATTCTTGAAACTGAATTTCTTAAAGAATTCCTGAATCAAATTTCCATGTGATACAAAGTAAAAAGCCATTTGTAAGCTTCATAAAAGAGAAAGACACTGAGTGTGTGTTGCTCAGCTAAGACAAGGTTGAAAATTATAATATTATCTTACATAAAATGCGTGTTCTACCAAGAACCAAACAAGTGTCGGGTGTATCTTACAGTCAGTGTCATTAATGAGACTTACTTTTGAGTTTGTCTTGTTTTGTGATAATCTTGAAGGAATTTTTTGTCTCTTGAAGTAAGATACCACATGTTCCTACATATGATGGACACTTGGATCTGCTCACTGTTAAAAAAAGAAATACAAAAGCTGTTTAACACTATTTATTTTAGTCCCAAGAAGTTACGCCTACATCTAGTTAGGGGGAAAAAGTACTTCTCACCCCAACCAGAGGATTGTGCCTTAAATCAAAAGACATTATTATCCCAAATTGATCTTTGATCAAAGGCCAATAATAAATATCCAAGAATTTCAATTTCATAAATAATGTACAAGATTATTCTTAGTTCAATGTTTCAACCCTTTAACCCCCAAGAGTGACTGGCATCTAATTTCTCTTTACAAGATCACCCCTGAATCACACTTAAAAGTCATGAGAATATAAGAAATGATCATCAACTTAAGAAGCTCTTGATCGTTAAACAAATTCTCCTTCTCAGCACCTTAGGAAATAAATAGAGAACATTATGGAGAATATGCATACTGATGTTGTGGTGTTGAGGGTTAAAAAATTTCAGAGATACATGCATCATATGGGGAAAAGTCACACAATATTCTACTACAGCTAATTTAGCTTTGTTAACAATAGAGTAAAAGGCACAAGTTGAGACACCCAAATAAATATATTGTTATACACATATTTCAGTTAACCAATATATAGAAACAGGAGGTGAAGTCTAAATACCTCCTTGTACTGACTGGAACATCCATTATCAAGCCCCGACAAGCCAGCTTTACACAATAATTTACTCACCCTTGAGAATACACCCATGGTAGTCAGCACGCAGTAGTTTGGGATATATAACTTTCAAATTACTAAAATATAGAAAAAGGCAGTTAAATAAGCATGTGTTATAGGTATAGCAACCTGAGTAATTGTGTAGAAAAACTCCCTGAAAAAAACCTGTCAGCCCACAATCAGCCAACATACAGTGGCCTATTGGTTATCTGTTGGCTGAAAGGGTTTCTGAGGGAGCTCTTCTTCACAATTACTGCAGTCTGGATGACAAACACTGACAAAATTGACGAGTAAGCCTGACTGATTAAGGTCTTTTATTTGTGTTGAAGGAGAAATACCAGCAAAAGTGCATTCACTTTCCCATGTTACAATGCTTTGATAAAGATTAAAAAGCTTGTTGTCAGAACAGCCCCCTCCCAGATAATCACACCATAGGACTATGTTGACACCTAAAACACCTGTTGCTAAAGCATACAAGCCTACAGCACTTACAGCTTCTGTTTCTCTTGCAATTCCTTTAATATTAGTTATATATGCAGGCCCCATCACCAATAAGATACATGTAGTATCTACCTTTTATATTTTTTTTTCCATGTTCTAACCAAAGAAGAGAAAAAAAAATATGTTGCATGTCACCAAAAGAAACTGGTATTGGTACTGATCACTTAAAATTGTTTGCTAAAAAGGTACCTTTCAGATGTCAAGTTTAACATTTCTTGCATGTAGCCTGTCCATAAATCATGAAGAGGAAGATACATTTCATACCTAACAAGTAAATTATTCCAGAACAATATTAATATTCACAAGTGGATTGAAGTAATACTGGGTGTCACCAATTTCCAGCATGCTCTAGCAGCTGACACACAACAAGTGATATGAAGAAAACCAATCAAATTTTGGGACTTTCTGTGTCACTTCCACACTCTAAATATCATGCCAAAACTAGAAGAGAAACTGAACATAACTTTGGTAGATTAATGCTTCACATTATTTTGTTTACGGTATATAATAATTAATTGTGTTTGTTAAATCAAGTTAAAAAATCATAAGTGAGTCTTACTAATCCTCCCATTTCAACTTAAAGTTTGTAAAAACTTTCTAAATTCTGTCATATATATACTAGTCAAGTGCTGTTTTGCTCAGTTGAATTTACCACAAATTCATTTCTCATTTCTGGTGACCAGATTGATCAGGTTTGTGTTTGGTGATTAGGAGAACTAGTTGTGTTATAATAATAAATACATCAAGATCTTCATGTTAACAGTTAACACAGGTAGTCTATTTTGAAATCAATAAAAGGTGCAGTTCACCTTTGATTCTTGGGAGAAATCTTGTAAATGCCTCGACTCTTTTTCTCTCTTAGGGACATTTCTTTTCTCTTTGGTTTCTTGTTTGACTTGTGTTTATTTAGCCTGTCCAAAGTCACAGGATCATATCGCAGTTTCCTTTCCAGGTCCTCTTTATTTTTTTGTACCACTCTTCCCATAAATGATTTTATTGCGCTTCTAGCAGAACAATTTAATGGCTGCATTGGAAAGTGGGAAGGAGAACACATTTTAATCCATGGAATGCTATAGAGGGAGTAACTTTTTTAGCATGACAGACACTTTCTCCTCTACCTCCTTTGTGTCAGAGGATCAATAAATTACTCTTAAAGCATGTTCACTTTCTCAATAAAATTAAGTAATAAGATAACCAAATATGACAGTCGTGAAGCCTGTTTTCAAACTTTTTTAAAGATGGTTTAATTTTTGTTCTTTTTGATCATAATTCAATTTGAAAAAAGGGAATACTCCTCTTTCTTCAGTTGAGAAACTCCTCACTGAGAACAGGCACTCAAGGGAAGCTTTAGTGGAGGTGTTCTCAAAAGGCTTTATAACCCTGACCTTGTTTAAGAGCCACATTGTTTCATCTCACTACTGTGTTGAATGCAATAATAACTGAATGATGTAGATTACAGTCAGAGTATATTTAGAGAGAATGTTTAGAATTAGGGATAAAAAAGTCAGTTTCACCAAATGTGTTCACTAGAAATCACCAGTTCTCACCCCACTAATCAAGTTCTACAAGATTGGTGACTCCAAGCCCTCCTCCTGAAAGAAACATAAGTGACACTTCACTCTTACCTGAAGACTAAGTTCTTCCAAGTTGTGTTGAACATGTTCTGGGAGGCCAGAATAAAGTGCTTCTAAAACAAAACAAATAACAGTGAACAAAAAGTAACAAAGGAAACATACCCATGTGTCATAGCTGCTGATTTGTGCAAGTAAATTGTATTCAAATATCTAAGAAATAATTACCACTAGGTAATGGCACACATTTCCCAGGTTCAACAAAATAATAAACCTATAGCATATGTTGGGAGAACATGAGAATATTTTGTAAGTCACCCATCTTTAGTCAAACAATTTACTTATGACTTGTTTTGTGATCAAGTACAATTCTGAGTAAATCCAGTTAAAGGGTTCCATCAAAAATTAACAATCAGCAAGAAGAACAACAAGCTAATGAACAAATAAAATGGTACCAAGAATCCAAGCAGATATTATGAAGAAAACTGAAAAGAAATAGCGGTATGCAAAATGAAACAGAAAAAGTTTTTTGATGCCTAAGCATACTTAGAAAAGTTGGGTTATGAAATGGCAAACTAAGTTCTTTTACCAGTTTTGTTTTGCCAGAATAAAAAAAAATTTAAAAAGAGAGAAAAATTGCAAAGGATGGCAAGTTTAGATGCAGGCAAGCTTTAGATTTTTTCATTTGTCATATCATTAGTTTCTATAAAGCGGTGAAAAGCGGTAATTAGATAACGCCGTATTATGTGACTAACACAAGTCAGTCTATAGAATGTGGGATTTTAAGCCACTAACCTACTCGGTATACATTCATATTAAGAGATTTTACGCCATTAGTTAACGACTTTAAATCTTACGACGTATGTATATCACCGACTGAAATAAATTACGCCGCTGGTTATAGGTATAAAATCTTTCAGTATAGAAGTTTTTAAATCCTTCAGCTTGGATAATATCAGTCTTCTAAGTTGTAAGCTTTGTGAAATATTCATCTTAAAGGTAGATTCTTTACGAATAATGAGGTTATACCACGAATAAGCTTCGCAGATTTCGTGGTACGTTTTGATTTTTCCGAATCTCGAGAACAAACAAATACACAGCTCACAGCTGTTTCTATGGAAGAAACTTATGTTTTGAAACATGCACGATAAAGTTCTCAGAAACTTCTGGAAGAGTAAAAGTTCTTACTTGTAGATACATCGGTCACCATTTCGCCGTCCGCCATGTTTCGTTTCTCAGTGCATTACTTCATGTACTCTACACGATGAGTACTACAGAGCGAGTACTACACACTAAAGTGTCCGAACTTCACCGGTCTCGGAAACATGTCAAAGGATGGCCTGTCTCAGCTACTGTCATCGTATGGATCAGATGAATCGGAAAACTCGAGCGACGATGCGGAGGAATTGACTGCTGTTAAAAAGAAAACGGGATCTCAAAGCATGAAACTTAAACTGGCCAAAACTGAAAAAGGCGGGTGCGAGAATTGTGGCATTACTCAAGGAGAAAGGCAAGCTTAATTTAATTTTTTCAGTCCTACAAATTTTTGAAAGTAAGAAGGGGTCCTACATAGAAATGATAAATAATTTTTAGTCAACCTCAGCTTTACTATACTAATAGAATGGTGGTGACAAATTAATTCTGTTGCAACTCTTAGTGCTTATGTCAGCCCAGCCAGGTAAGGTTCAAATTCCCCAAACACCCCCCC